AATGTTCTCTTCTTTAGAGGAGGCATAAAGAGTACAATGTTCCAGTTCTTCTGTTTCCCTGGATCCTTGGGTCATGACACTTCTATTTCACTACTGTCTCTATTAAAGCCTCTTCAGCTTGCCTCCTACAGGGTTGTTAGGAGACCTTGACATTATTACAAAAATATAACCCCCCAGTCTCCTTCCATGTACCTCATTCCCCAGGTGAGCAACCTTTCTCTTCATGTTTCAGCTGTGTTCGTATAAGTCACTGCCTTGTTGTCAGCCTTGGGGTTTGGTCAGGCTTTAAAGACATGCATGTGAAATACAGATCAGGCAAAGGCAGCTGCAGGGAAGCAGGTATGAAAGGAACATGGATGTCTATGGAGGTATAAAGGAAAAATCTGCACCAAAAAAATCAGGTGTTCTGACCAAAACAAGTAAGTTCTTCCCACTGTGCTTCTCAGACAGCAGCTGCTGGGAAGTTCATGCTCCAGATATAGCAATTGTTTTAAAGAAACAAAAAGCAGGCTGAGGAGCAGCACTGAGAAGTGAGGAGCCAGGAGCTGTGGCCAAATCAATATACAGAAAGAAAGAAATTGCTGAGATGAATCTGGAATGAGGGCTATGTTCTCACTGTACTACTCCTGGTCTTGATGATGAATCTCCTCAGCAGAAAGCTGAGAAGCGTGTGAACATCTATCCCTTTTTCCTCCTTTTTTTCACATCTTGACGTAAAGCATTTCTAAGATGGCCTGCTCCCTTCCAAGCTGATCCATATCTGAAATAAGACTGAAGAAATCCTGGCTGGTTTTTGGGAACAGCATTGGCATCATCAGTTAGAAGTCAGCATAAATCAGCCAGTTTTACAGTCAGAAGGTGTTGAAAAATGGGTAAAATGAAAGAACTGGCAGCTTTCATGAAATCCTTCTGAAAACACAAATCGGTCCCGTCTGTTCGCTGTGAGCAGTTAAATCCATTTCACTATAGCATGAAAGAAATGATTTTCTGGTGGGCAAAGAAAAAAAATCTGTTGTATAGTCACATTGCCTCCACCTCCATTTACTCAAGCCTGATTTGGCTTCTCTCCAGAACAGCCTCTTCTCTTATGAGCTAGCACTATAATCACCTATAGTTCTTGAAGCATCCCAAAAGCACCGTACCCCATCTAGTCCCTGTTTCCACAGTCTAAGTAAGAGTTTTAGTCCCAGTTCACCCTTGTAAGAGCAAATTGAAGGCAGTCAGCTGAAGACTATTGGAAGAGAACCTGTCCCTGCTGCGCATATGCCTGTCAGAGAGAACAGTATGTTTTCACCCCCGAGATAGCCCCAGTGCTTTCCTGACAGCCATCAGAGTGAGTCCATTAGCAAATTTGGAGTTGAACTCAGACTCTCTAAAAGGATAGTGCAGGCACAGCAGTCCAACACACAGACCTGAGGAGAACCCCTATGCAATTTTTCTACCCAGGAAATCACATACTTTGGTACAAAACTGCAGTCCTGAGCTGGAGTTCTTTCAGAGTCATAGAATCATAGAATCATTTAAATTGGGAACCATCTTTAAGAGCAACTATTAAACTTTCCCTGTCAAGTCTACCACTAAAAGATGTCCCTAAGTGCCACATCTACACATCTTTTAAATATTTCTGGGAATGGTGAGTCCATCACTTCCCTGGGAAGAGTATTCCAATGCTTGATCACTTTTTCAGTGAAGAAATTTTTCCTAATATCCAGTGTAATATTCCCTAGTACAACTTTAGACCATTTCCTTTCCTATCACTTCTTATCTGGGAGAAGAGACCTAGGCTAGGTCAAAGCTAGTTAGGCACAAAATATTTCAACTATTTTCAAAATTGTTTGTTAAACAGAGGGTGGTAAAAGAGACCAAAGCAGAGCCAAGAACATAGCCACATACATTCTTATTTTGGGGCAAAAGCCCAGATGAATATGACTGATCAAAGACTGGATGGAAGATTGTAAGCACAACAGTAAATTTACAGGGGTTTCCATGACAAAATGGAAGGATGAAGTTATGTGACCCTCTACAAAGGGTTTATAGAGTTTGTGTTTTCACAGTTCAGGATCAGAATTCATTTCAGTGAAGACAGAACTGCCTTGCAAAGGCTTTCCTCTCTTCAAGCCATTTTTGTGAGTTTTTATATAAAATCAACCAGAGGAGGGAAAAAAAGCCCAACTTTTTTTGGATTATTTCTTAATTCATTTTGTTGCATTAAGACATGTCATCTAGGTAAATCACTTTTGGCTGCAATGATGTGTCCATAAAAAATACCAGTCTTAGTCTTTAGTGAGTGCAAACAGTTGCTCTGTTTGCTTGGGTATAATTTGGAAAAAAAAAAAAAAGCAGATCATTAAATCATTTTCTGAAAAGGTCCTTAATTACATTTAGCGACAGAGAGAGGATGATTCTGTGAAATGGATAGTGAGGCTGCATAGCAGCAAAAAGAAAAAAAAGATGCCTTTCTGCTCTCCGTTCTGAGACAGGAACTTCTGAATGCCCCACATTTACTGTGAAGTTAACATATAATATAGTAATTCATTCATTTTGCTCATCTGTATCATTTTTATGACACAAAAGGTACAGGCATGTTTCCAGCACCTTCCTAAACAAATTTTGGAAATATAAGTCTGCAGATGAATATGCCAAATGGAGATTTTAGAGGCACAAACACAGTAAATGCTCAGTTCTTAATATTATTTTCCTTTATGTTTTAAAGTTAATTTCTTTAGCAGGGTCAGCATTTATAAGTACATCATTTTATTTTTATGGAAGTTTACTAAGCAGATTCAAATGAAATATTTACCAAAAGGATGAAACACTAGGACAGGTTACCCAGAGAGGTAGTAGATGCCCCATCCCTGGGGACATTCAAGGTTGAGTTGGATGGGGTCCTGAGCAATCTGATCTGGTTGAATATGTCCCTACTTATTGCAGTGGGATTGGACCATACAGCCCCAAATATTCCCTTCCAACCCAAACTATTCTATGACCTTATGATTCTATGAAGTGTCTGAGGGTACAATTCTTATCTCTCCTGCAGTGCATTTAGCATCAGTGGAAATATTTTTCTGATAGTCTGTACTGTAAAAACAAAATAGGACTTTGCGAGTGGCAGGAATGATAGGCAAGCTGGTTTACACATTGTATGTATTAATAGCATAGCTACCTTTGGACAAGACTTTAACACTATTGGGAATAAAGAGATATATATATTGAGAACCATAAGGAAAATACCTGTAAAAGTTTTCAAGCTTGCAAGCATGTAAGCTTATTCAGGTAGGCAAAATCTTATTACTATATTAACTTGTATGCAAGATAGCAGTATGTGTCCTGACATATGATTTTTATTTTTGCAATTTTAAAGATTAATTTACTCAAAAAATTCTTACCAATTTATCTATAATAATAAGCTGCAGAAAAACATGGTTGTCCAAAAATTCTTCCCGAAATACAGGACTATGTTCCACGTGAAGCACTATGTCAGGTAGCCTGAAATATCTGTGTTGAAATGAGGTTTATATAAACCAAGATGAAAGCACATCAAGTATTTTATATTTTCTGGATGATAGTAAATAGTTTTCAAGTGCAGTTTCTGGAACAAAAAGGAGTCACAGGAGCTGCACATGCCTGTGTGCCACCTCTGCTCACACAGTGGGTGGTGATGGTTCTGCTGTATTACAGCATGGTGTCCAAAAGGATGTGAGCCTAATAAGAGCTGGTAATTAAACATGATTAATCAGGCACATGAATCTCCACTGCAGCTTCTGTGAATCTGTAAACATACTGATGTTCTATGTTATAATAAGGTCCTTGTGAAAACTCAGTTGTTCAGATTTTGTTGGCATGGCAGTTCCACTCTCAACAAGTTTATATGTGACTTGTGACTTCCTGCCTTTTCCCCATGCTGTCCAGTTATCAAGGTACACTTAGGCAGACCTCAAAAGAGGAAACTCCACAGATTTCCAATAATTTACACTTTAGTCATACAGATACTTGTAGCACTTTAGGGCCAATATATATAGCGAGGCCTGTCTTTGAAAAGCAAAATATGCTTTCACTTGACACACAGGAGTGTAATTGAGGTGTTTATCACTTCAAAGTAGCCGAAATGGCATTATTTATTTTGAGGTTAAACTGCTTCCCATACTTGAACTACATTGCTTAAGAATCCAACTACAATCCAACTACATTGTATCCCTATGAATAAGTTAAGAGTATATGGCATAGATATAACCAGAATACTGGAAGGCAAAGCTAGGACTTGAATAGCCAAAGGAGGAAACACTGAGAATGGAGAACTAGAGATAGAGTCCGCTGGGACTGCTGAAACCTCAGAGAGATTTCAACAGAACAAAGTTTTGAATCACTGACAAGAGAAAAATCTTGTCACAATGAGTCATAAAACGATTAGTGATGCCACCATCTAGGAAAAAGACTTCACTAGAATTCAACCTCACAAAGAACATTCTCTGCAACTATACAGTATTGCTTTTATTAAAGTAAATCACTTATTACAATACTTCTTTTTCTGTGTAGAACACTGTTATACTACACTGAGAATATGTATATTTTTATATATTTTTATATATATATGTATATCTTTATATATATACATATATGTATGTATCTATGTATATATATTATTTCCTGGAGAGGACTGCTGTCTTGAAATCTGATGCCTGAGGTCTTATAAACCAGATACTTGCTAAGGCTTCATCATGAATGACAGATGCCAACTCTGAAAATCCCTGTCATGGTCATCATTGTAGAAGTCATTGATGCATCATGTTTCTGTATGGAGGATTGGATCAACTATTTCAACAGTGTTTGTCTTATACCTTTACTATTTTTAAGCTTACACTCCTCTGCCCACCGTAATCTTACCTAGAAATGTCTTGCCTCTGTTTGTGGAGAACTGGACTTGAGAGAGTTCAGCAGTTAAAGAATGTATGTTGAGACAATTCTGCCCCAAAGCTGACTGGGGGGCTATTCTTGCATTCCAGTGTTGCTACAGCTAATGAAATGAGCCTTAGTGAGCCACTGGCCTCTTATCAAAACCTGAAAGGGCAGAAAACCTGACAGATCTGACACAGTAAAGAAGGTAAGAGTAAATAAAGGCAAGAAATCTGCCTTTATTTATTTGCCTTAACAGAATCCTGTTGTTCAGGCAAAAGGAATATGGAGTGAAATTTGGCACAGGAGGTATGAGCAAAATTCAGTTCTGTCACATACTATTTATATTATATTAACATATTTTATATATATTATGCATTATATGTTAAACCAGCAATGATTTTGTCTTCCTGCATTTTAATTATTTTCCCCACAAAAAGCGGGGGGATTTTGGTGGGAGTAGAGGAGGAAAGGAGCCAATTTCTCTGTAGCACGGGAAATTTGTTCAGAAATTTTACACCTTGTGTTATACTTATATACATAATAAGGCTGTTGCAGACTTGGAGAAAGTTTAAACTTTTTATATGCATAAATATCTATATCTATATGAATATAACTTTGTATATAGAAAAAGTTGTACAGGTTATGTAAAGATATATATATCAATATGTAATTTTATATTTAAATAACATAAGTACTCTACCCATAGATCTATAGAGAGATAGAGAGATACATATTTCTCTTCTTTAAAAATACATATTCATAGTCTTTAAAATACATTGTAAAATTAAGGCAAGTTGCCTTCACAAGGATAGACATAGGATCAAGGTATGGACAAAAGCAACACTTTCTGCCTAAAAATTTTCAAATTCATCTTCAAAACATCTTGCATGAATGTTGTAGGCATAATTTAATTAATTGCACATACTTCTGTGCTGCTTTTAAAGAAGGAGGTAAATTGTCTGTTATATCACATAAGGCTCAAGAAATTCCAGTCCATTAGTAACCAAAGAGGATGCTAGGTGACATACATTAGATGTATTTTGAAATCAGGTTGTGTCAACAGATGTCAACAGATTCATGAAAGTCTTGACCAAGGAGATTTTTGCTATAACAATTTAATTAATTTTACCATTTTTTAATCATGAGACAAAGTGCAAAAGCCTGGATGTGTACTAATAATGTTTCTTTCAGAAAGAAAAAAAAAAAGGGAGAGATGATTCAGGAACCAACAAGTGAAGAATAAAAAGAATTAAGAAAATTGAATTCTGGACATCATGGATTGCCCCAACTTGTAGGGGAAATTGGTCCTACTGTCAGAAATTTGTGTACATTTTTGGGGAGTGCTGGTAGGTGAAGCTAATCACGCTACTCCTTGTGTCACAACCATAACTGCTACATATTCAAGAGGCACCCACAGGAAAATAAAGATAGGGGGTTGGAAAGAAATCAGTCATGGAAAAGTATACAGTTTTCTGTAGATTCAAACCCCCTGTGAATTTATCTGTCAGGGAAGGGGCTTCTTACCACCAGGAAGTCCATGAGCACTAGTGTTGTCAAAGTTTTCATTCCTATTCTTACCCTGTGTGCACAAGTGCACTTCTTACCTTTGCTCTCATTATAGAACATAGAGGATGTTTCTTTCATATCTAATTGGCTATTCTGATAAAACTTGGAGGAACATGCTCCTCAATTTGGTTGGAACTTGTTAGGGTTTAAAAAGGATTACACAATTATTGAGACAGGGTAATTAGATAAGCTTTATTTTTTTTTTCCTCAGGAAAAAGAGAGAGATAAAAGAATTCAATTCCCACTAGCTGATACCAATGGATCACATACTAAAGGATTACTTAGAATCATAGACTCACTATGTTTGGAACAGACCTCCAAGATCATCGAGTCCAACCATTAATCGCATCATATTTACCACTAAATCACATTCCCAAGTGCTACATCCACACACCTTTTGAACACTTCCAGGGATGTTGATTTCACCACTTCCCTGGGCATCCTATTCCAATGCCTGACCACCCCTTCAATGAAGGAAGTTTTCTCAACATCCAATCTAAACCTCTCTTGGTGCAACTTGAGGCCATCCCTTCAGCTTGAGGTTAACAACTATTTGGCAAATGTCAAAAGCAGCAGCCACTGGGACACAGAAGCAAATGCTTTCCATACATTCAGCATGCCATCAATGTAGTAAATGCAGTAAAAAGTGACTGCTAAACATTTGGCATTTTTTATATATCTAGAAATTCATAGAATCTGATTGTCACTAGCACTGGCATCACTGACTGTCGTAACTCTTCCTCCAGTTTCTTATGAACAAGCACCATTTGGCATTCAAATGCAGAGACATCACAACAATATGTTCATTTTACCTGAGTCCCAGGAATGATGTTATTATGGGTGACCTTTTCTTTTTAATGAAAACACACTGACTAGATCTATAATGCACTGGACAGGGGGGTGTGTGTGTGTGTGTGTATGTTTCAAAAATATGGTAAGCCACTTGTATATTTTACTCTCTGTAATTAATAATAATTTTCATTTTAGAAAGTGATGGAAGATTACATCTCTACCAACAGTCAAATAATTCAGGCTGCCAAAACCTTATTGGACTAAAAGTGGAGATAGGTGGAGGCTTCCCAACCTGCTTGAACACAAACTGTGCATACATCATTAGGATTTGTTGATGCTGACAGTTTTAAAAAAACGCACACATTGAACTATCTCTTGCACTATTCAATATCATCTGTGGAATAAATACATTCAATACTTAGCAGACAGGATAAATAAAAAGTATGAGTATGGAGAAAGTTATTATTGGTAATGTGTTCAGAATTACTCTACAAAAGTACATCTAAGTACATTCAGAAAACCAAAATCAAGCAGTCCTTAAACTAAAGAGTTTATATTCCTACAGTTATCCTCTCCTCACAGCGTACAGTCCATACTGCTGTGTATGTGCATGTGTAGCAATACTTAGTCGCATTCTTTAAAATCTTTGTTGCAAATATCTTCCTTTCTATGAAATGCGTAATTTTCTCTACCTTAAGGAGAATTTTCTGGGGTTTAAAATTTATCTTTTTTTTTTTTTCCCTTGGGAAAACACTGCATTCTGATAGTTGAAGGCAAATATACTTCAGAAATTTCCTTGTGGATTTTTTTTCTTGAATTCTCTTCTTATACTTGATAAAGATATCACACAAATTAATAAATGCATCTGAGAAATAAGGTTAATTAATCTAATAAAAGAAAAACAGTGGAAAATAAAGTAGAGTAGAAAAGGGAGATCTAATCATGATAAAGGTAGCACTTCACTATCTTGTATGATAGGCCTATAGTTCATGTACAAACTTGATGAACATTTTGTGACAGAGCTTCAGTTTAACCCCCAAAATCTCAGGTAAATCAATACATCAATATGTAGTTTTTAAAATCCAAGAGGTTCTGTGTCTTGAGGTTTTTTCCCCAACATTTGACTAATCCAAAAGCTTGGGCTTTTTTCTCGGGATTTCAAGAGAATCATTAGGAGAAAATTGCAGTAGATCTGCATTGTAAGGGAATCACCTCATTAGTCCAGACTCTTCATAATATCCTCTATTAAACTCATCGGTTTGGGTCTTAAATTGGGGAAAAAAGATATTTGACCATGTCAATAGAAATGCGTATAAACTGAACTATCTTTCTCTGTATTCCCTTGACTGACCTTAGTTGAAATGCGATAAATGATGGTATGGTAATTATATTCTGCTGTTTTACCAGACATCTCCATTTCTCTGAAATACTATTTTCTAGTTTTATAACCTTTGGCTCTCTAAATACCAAACAGAACCAGTATGGATAGTTACTCTTTCTTCATTATTGCAGGAGTTATTCCCACACTATATTGGCTATTGTACTCCTTACGGCAAAGTGTTTCTGTTGTGCAATAATGATAATAATTTCATTCAACTGTAAAAGATTTGACCGTAACTGTAAGAATATTATTTGGTACAGTACATATAAAAGAGCCCTCCTTTCTTGAAAGCAGATGATTTGCAGTAATTGGCATGCTTCTTCTGGTCCTACTTAGGAAGGGTCTAGCTGATGGAAGAGTACTCAGTATCTTTGAACTGAAGGCAGCAGCAAGGCTGCCACTGTGACCTGGTCTATGTCACCACTTCAGTCATTTCCCATAAATCTTTAAGTGATACAAGCAGCGGAAACACACTTCCCATTACAGATCAGAGAATGAATCCATTTATCCACAAGTCAGAATCAGTGTTAGCAGATGAAATTACACCAGTGTGAAAACATCACACAGAAAAAGCTATTTTTAACATTCTTAACATGGCATATCCTGACTTAAGCAAAGAAGCTTTGAAGAAATCAAGAAAGATGGAAGAAGAAAGGAAGTGAAGGGTCCTGTGATGCTTTCTTGTTCCTTTCCTCTGAATCAATGACACTTTCATATGCTGATTTTGAGACACTATGCCAAGAATCGTTGTCCCCACATCATGGCAATCCAGAGTACGCAGTAAGGGAGAAGTGCTGCAGTGCACCCTCCTTTGGATCCCTTCTCTTTCTTCTACTGAGTGAGTCATGGCACAGTACTGACAGCTGTGTACTGAGATTTTATTACTTAGTTTTGGTGGGGAGTTTTTTCCCTTGTTTCTTTTCCTTTTTTTCTTTCTCCTTCTCTTCTTCTTTCTTTTTTTTTTTTCCCTTTCCCTAATCCACTTTCAGGCTTGAAGGTGGAAGCCTGGATAAGATGCATTGGTGATTCACCCCTCAAAAGAGGTTTAATAAACCCTTCAGTATGTTTCTCCATGGTAGCTTATCAGAACCTTTGAAAGCAAGGGGTTTTTTAAACAGCAGTAATTAAGTGGTCTCAGAGAAGCCTCAAAAATTTGTTGTGACAAATGAAAGCATCTCAGGGTAGAGGCTAGATGCTATCAAACTGTTCAATACTATGAGCCTAAAAACATTGTTTCTGTGAAGGACTTAATACAGTGAGCAGCTATCCAGTTTCACTGAAATCAGGCATCAACTCTTGCACAAAACTGATAATGAAAGAGGTAAATCTTTAATTTCTGTGCTCAAGAAATAGAAGTCACTTCCTTGAAGCTCTCTTCATATTCATTTCTGGGCAATTATGTTTGTTCAAAAGTAGCAATTAACCTACATGTTTATAAACCTAGAAACATAAGAAAGAGCACAGCGAAAAGTATTTCTGCACTTACATATACCTATTAATCTTTTGTTTTGAATACTGTTAGGAACACAAACAGGCTTAATTCATGGAAGCTGCTGCTGCTGTTAATATCTCCTGCATGTGTGTTTTGGCATGTACCTACAATCAGCGTGAAAATATAGGGGAGTATTATTTATGTAAAAAACCTCAACGGCTTCCAGATTTCACTGCAGCCAGAGTATGAAGGGAATTCAGGTTGAAAATTAAATTGGTGGTTTAGGTATAAGTCTGCTTTACTAGACAATATGAATATGAGTTTATTTGTGTTTAACCCTGATACTGTATGAACTTAGAAAAAATGTCAAGACAGCCTCGAGCTCTAAAGGTTTTATCTATAAAGATGTTCATATCATCATCTTCTGTAAAGTGTTATTTTCTATGGAGTTGAAATTATTTGCCAGTAAATAGCGAGTTCTTTACTATGCCATCTAAATTCTGGACAACTATGTTGATTCTGAGATCAGTAACTTAATTATTTCTTTTTCCTACAAAATTATTTACAATCAGCAGAAATTGTGGTTGTGCAATAGTTGAATAAAGTGTCTGACCATACAAAAATTGAACCATGCATAAAGTTTTATGAACATCTTTATTTGAAATGTGAAGCCCTAATCCTAAAAATCCCTTTACCTTAATAGGATAAACAAATGTAATTGTCAGGAATCTTGTCATTCCATGCCTCAGACTACAGTGGCATACACATTATGGCTTTAGCAATATTTTGCATATTACATGGAAATGAAAAACCAAACCATGTCTGCAGTTCAGCTGGAAACAGCAGCCTGACTCCTCTAAGGACTTTCAGCATAATGAAAGAGTAAACAGGTTTCCACTGCCTATGAAAACCAAGTATCCAGCATAAAACAGCTTTGCTTATGTGGAGCCAAACTTCTCCAAACACAAATATTCTGGCTAGCAGAAAAAAGCTACTACCAATTCTTTTTTGGTACTACTTACTTCTGCAGCAGATCCTCCATGTGCAAGAAGGACCTCACAGTAGCCTTGGAATCTGTTTTACTAAGTTACATAGACC